TAGCATCCTAGTCTACCTCGGTGGGTGTGTATTCAGAAGGGCCTCATAAAAAAAACTACTAGCAGCTTAATTATGTTGTTTAATTCCCTGCAAATGGAGAGAATGTGTATATGTGTTTGACCCTTCACCTGCTGCCAATAAGGTCTGACATTAAGCACAATGCAGAGCAGATAATGCAGATTCTTCCGTTGTCTTTATCTTCTCACCTAAACAATACTTCTGTCAAGTCACATCTCTCAGCAAAAGCCCCACACAGATTCAGTGATAACATCTCTCTGACAACGAGAGTATGATGAAGGATAACGAAACATAATGGTCACTGCAAACTCCAGTCTGCTGTATGAAAACTGGACATCGCCCTCCCCCTCCCCCTCCTCCCCACCTCCACTCTCCACATAATGGGAACTTCCCGCATTAGCAGTGAATGTTGGCATTGGACAGGGTGCAGGATGTTCAATATGAGCGCAATATCCAGGATTCGGATCTGGAACATGTGTCCCTCTGCTGCATTAAAATCAGGAAGTTAACTTAACAGGAACCTAATAAGAGTTTAGAAAAGTTTAAGAGAGAGTTTGGTAATAAATCAAACATTAATTAACCTGCTAATGACCAGTTTTAACTTCATAGCCAACATACTCAGCTGATGAGATCAGTTGATTTTACCAAGTACTGCACCTGGGATGAGATTTTGGAAATCCCAGAATTAACCAGTTAGTCAGAAATTAAACCAGTGAGTCAGTCTGGAGGTTTAGTATTCAGGGTTGAAACCAGGCCAGTCAGTCAGTCTGACAGTTGGCCTGTAGGTGGCACATTAAGCCAGTTATTCACTCTCAGATGCCTCTTTGTGTGTGTGTGTGTGTCCACTGCAAAGTGTAGTATTCTGCTGCTGTGATCCGCCCTACATCAGCTGCTAACAGACAAGAAACCCCTCCGTCCTCCAAATGTGGAAACAGCAGACTATATAAAAATTCAAGCATTCAGAATTTATTTTATTATTTCTTTGTAGGATTTATGCTGCATTTCCCCTCCGTTTGTGGAAATGTGGTGTGCATTTGAACTCAGCAAAAAATAGTTTCCATATGACAGACTCCCAACAAGGCTGTGATTATCCGGTAAAGTGCTGAATGCATGAAGAGAAGGAAGCCTGCCTGAATAACAATAAACATGCAGGAGTTTTTTGTTTATTTACATGTATAAAGACACACAGGGGTGTGGGCTAATTCAGCTTCAAATACCAGCTTATTGTCGAGTGTGGATCAGACTTAAAGCTTCTTTTTTTAACCATTTTAAAGAAACAGCAGTGATTATAATTGCAAAAAATACATATTATAAACAATAAAGTCATTTTTTGAATGCACATTTGTTTAAAATAAACAGGACCCTCTGGTGTGTAAGTGTCACATACAATGGGCGTGTGAGTGTATTTAAAGGGCTGAGTATAAATGAATGCATACGGTCGGTATTGAAGACCGGGAGCTCCTATTACAGGATCCTTTCTGCTCAGAACTCACGTGAACCGGGGCCGACTAGTGCGCTGATTGGCCGCCGCCTCTGCACGTGTACCGGCGAATCCTTGTCCTTTATGTAACGTGTAGTGCACAAGAGGAGTGACACTGGGCGGAGACAGCGGAGGGAGGGCTGCGGTATCTGCGCGGGGCTGTGTGGAGTTCATTCATCTCAGTGCACCGTCCTTTCACCCACTTACTACTATTATTATAATGGGTATTATTATGCATTTTATAATAATAATAATGCATATTATAATAAAGATCTGTTATATTATCATGTAAACTGCATATGAAAGTGATTTATGCATTACTTATTTTACATTTTTATTAGTTTTAGGCAAAAAAAAAAAAAGAGACAAATCTGGGGTGAAACTGTAAAAAATAATGATAAAATATGGTAGGATGAGAAAACAAATATCACTATAAACATGTAAATGCTGTAAATATAAAAATAAATATGTCTGTGGTATAAAACTATAATTTAACAGTAAGAAACAATGGTATACACATATACAGTAGCCTATATAATAGTAAGTAAGCATTAAGTTTATTTGTGCATGAACTGAAAGTGCTTTAGAGTCAGTTTTGTTTTTAAAGCTATATAAATGACACAGACATATCTAGTTGAAGTAGGCTGGTAGTAGTAGTAGTAGTAACAGTATAGTAGTAGTAGTAGGAGGGGCTGGGGATGGATGGATGTTGAAATCCCATGCAAGAGCTGGAATTGGAAGACAACGTGGCTCTGAAAGCACTCAGCCTGTCTGTCTTCCTGCCTGTCTGTCTCTTCGTGTCAGATTACTACATTTAAAAGGCAGAGAAGAGAGACAGACACACTGTAAGCTCCCTGCCTTTTAAAAAAAACACATTACTGTACTGTACCCACTACCTCACATTCTGATGATGAAGTTTATTTTATGTGCAGTGACTCATATGAACAGGGATTCATATATATATATATAT